TACATGAACCAACAATCAGAATTTTAAATTCAAGCTAATTCAATAAGAATCATCCTCTTTTACATATATTTACATAAATCATTAAAATTCTTTAAGTAGATTTATCTTTAGGGTGATTAGAATATTCGTACATAAATATTGAAAAATATATCTCTCACTATTCCATTACAGTGTAGTTTAAGTATATATCACAAATTGATTTTTCTTAAATTATATTAGTAACATTTCCTTTAAGACAAATGATTTCGAATTACATTTTAACGTTACGCTCTCAAATAATTTAATTACTAATAAAAGGCTGAACGTAAGGGAAAAAGAATAATTATCCATTTCATTACGATATTTAGTCAATTTAATGAGCCTAATTTTATTATATCTTGAACGTTGAATTCATGGATTAGAGCAAGTATTTGAGTACAGTTATTACGCCTCGAATATATACTTCTTACAGTTCAAATTATAAATAATTCGTTTTATTATTGTAAAATTTATGCATATAACGGGAATGAATAATTAATAATAAAATTATGATGAAAGGAATTTGGTAATTAACTTCACTTATATTTCACATCATGTTCCGCTTATTATCAAAGAACATCAATAAAATAAAATTAAAAATTAAATCTTTATATTCCTTTCCTGGGGCACATTAATATATTGAAAATTTGAGAAGGGTTTGGATAACAAAGAGAAAAGTAAAATGAGCTGTAAGCTTTACAACATGAGCTAATAAATGTGATAAAATATTTTTATGGAACATAAAAAAGAATAAAAAAAAAATTAAAGTTAGCCATCAAATTTTGAATAATGTAATCCTCCACCCGAACATGGGCATCTGGAGGTCGAATTTAGAATTTGTTTTAATCTATTTCATATCTTGTAAAACTTTAACGAATTTTTGATTAATAAACTCAACGCGTTCAAAGCGCACACTGTACGGAAAATCACATTTTTATCTTCAGTGCGGAAATTCTAAAGACATGCTGTTTTCAAATGTATGTGGTTTACGGGCGAAGAACATGATATTCAATAAATATAGGTAACACATAGAACGTTAAAAAAAGGTTCCTTTTGGACGTAATATAAAATCTTAGTGCTTCTATATTTTATTTTACCTTCTTTTTTTTTTTTTTTTTTTTTTTTTTTTTTTTCATTACACTCAGAGCATTTTATGCTCCGAATTTTATAAATTACTAAAGTAAATATCCACTTTAATGTTAATAATTAAATGATGATATAATCAAATAAATGATCGTTTTGTAATGTTATAGTTTTAAAAATCACTGCCTGAAAATGTTCATTAAATTTTTTTAAAAAATTATCAGATCTTGTTTAATTTTACCTTATTTATTTCAAAGCATCACGTACTATCAATCTTATTTAATTTTACCTTATTTATTTCAAAGCATCACGTACTATCAATCTTATTTAATTTTACTTTATTTTTACGCAAAATTACATCCATAAATTTTGTGCTTAGAGTTTTTACCGTTTTACCAAAGTAAAGATGTTTGTACAAGAATTATGCATGAAAAAAATGCGCGAAATGCAATAAAAACTGCTTTAATGAGATATATTAAATCATATTTGAAAAAAACCGTGACTTTCATAATCTCATCACTATACAACGGATCACATTTACTAATTAAAAGCAGTTACGTGATACAAACGCCATAGGTTTCAGTGTTAAAGTAAACCAGATCGTCCCTACACTATTTCTTGCGGACATGTCGGTGACGCGCGCCCCGCCCACTGGGTTAGTCTATTTCTTATAAGGTTCATGTAGTTAGCACCATGACGTCACAGGGTACGTCAAGGTACTCAAAGCACGAGGGATAAGCATGCGCAGTGTTAGGCAATTTAAAAAGAAGAAAGGAAAGAGCATTTCTAGGCTATTCTACTGCACGTGAGATTGTACGTGCAACTTCTCTAGAAGAGAGAATGCACGGCCAAACAGGGGTGAGTGAGTGAATGAGTGAGTGAGTGATTATGGCGCAAAAACCAAAAAATGATTATACCGCGCCAAACATAAGATGAGATGATTACAAATGTTGACATTAGAATTCAATAAATAAAAACAAGTATCCAAACAGGACTCATGCTGTTGAAGAGCGCCTGAAAGGTAAAGTTATCCACCGAATAGATTAATCAGAGTTCTCTCCAGATTGAAATCGAATTGAACATGTGTGAAATACTTTAGGGAGACTCTGGAGGCACAATCGTACGGAGAAACCAGAAAACTTTTAGAACCCAAGAATCTTTATGTAATATTTTGTTGAATATCGAGAGACGATGCAATTGAACCATTGCAGTTAAGAAGAGATCCAACCTCTTACTAAAACTCTTAAATTTGTTGTCCTTCCTCCTGACTAGACAGTTTCTTGTACTAGTGTCATTCTGTCAATGAAGCCTTTTTCTTCGTTCCGTTCTGTATATGTCGTATTAATTCTTTGCCACTACACTATTAAACATTCCTCCTTCTTTAAATACTTTATTGTGCCTCTGTAGTATGAATTCCATGGCTCTCAGCTGGTTTTTGCGGAATTATGGCCTGGATTAGAAACGTTGTAATGTTTGGCACAGTTGTGTATAATTTATGTGATTAGGTATGGTATCATTGAGAAATGTAATGGTGTCTTATTGTCTCATTTTCATACATTTTAACATTATTATCTTGGCATGTTATTTCTCATAAAAATGTGCATCATAATTAGTATTTTTTGAACTTGTATCAGAATAAAAAAGAGAAAAAAATTAGGTCAAGACACCTATTAAGAAATAAAAAGAAGTTATTCTTAATAAAAATTATAAAGATTCATTATGGTCCTTTTTAGAGTTCAGTGAAACTTAAATTAGAGTTTTCTGATAGTTTGATGATTTTTACTACTGCACATGGATAGCGTTTGCAATATTCACCTGCTCAGGGCAACATACAATTTGCAATTTAATATGTTTATGTGTGACCATTTCAATTTGAGTAAGTGCTGTTTGAACTATATGCATGAAATATATGTAGTTTGATATATTCGCTTATTCAAATTTTAATACGACCTTCTGCAGCTCAAGAGGAAGGTTCTATATTTAAGGTTTAAAACTAGTCTTGCACACTTGCAAAACAAGAATCAGTGTAAAAAGAAATATTTCTTTTATTTTATTCGATATCCTCTAAACCATCTGGTTTTTACCAACTGGGAAAATAACTTTACTTTAGTTTTTTTTCAATAACAAACTTCATTCATCCAATAAGAAAAAAAATCATCCATCCAATAAGTAAAAAATCGTTTAACGAAAAATGTTAAATATTAAGTTAAAAATAATTGAATAACTTTAATTTAAACTCTCAGAAAATCAAATGCAGCAAGCTGAAGAGCAACTAATGAAGGGACACATTTTACAGGTAGGACGTTTGTTTTATAAGAGAAATTATTCATTATATATAGACAGAAAATATAAGATACTAGAAATATTTCAAAAGAACATTAGGATTGATGAGGATCATTATTGCCGAAATATTTGCAGCAGATGTATTTTCACGACTGTCATATTAAAACTATCAGCCACTTCAAGACGTTTAGTAAACACAGTTGGGAACTTTTGTTTTATTTGTTAATGAAGTTGCATTGCAAATCTGGAAGTTATTCATTACATATTTTGCAATATTTCATAAAAATTTAACATTTAAAATTAAGCAGAAAGCACATATCAAGCTTAAGGTATATACGCTTTCAGATGGTAGTAAAAGACATTTTTCATATATAAGTATCAGGGATAAGCATTACACCTTATACTCCATATACTATATTACATTGCTGTCAATTGTATCGAATTTACATTAACCTAAACTTGCAAAGATAATACTCGATTGTTTGGGTACAGCAAAACAAGCTAAGAGTATCTGCCTCAGAGGAAAAATGCCTTTGTGACTCTTATCTTCCGTGGGCCTTATCTTTATCTTCCTGGCTCTTATTTTTGTGCCTCTAGAATAAATTTAGTATCTTTCTGTGTATACAACAGCAAGCATCAAACAATTTTCTCTAAAAAATATATAGTACAATTTGATACTTCCATCTATAAAATATGCTTGTGTTACCACTTCATTTTGATGTGCTAAAATGTTTATAAATGTAATATCTATTAGGTTTTTATTTCATGAAACAATCTTTTAGGTTTTTTATTTCACGAAATAAAGCATGAAGTGGAATAACACACTTTAAAAAGTTTCATTGACAATATATTTTCTATGAAAAAAAAACTGACCACAGATGTTATTCTTCTAAAGATCACATTATAGATTATATCATAGATTCTGTTATCTTCTAAAGATAGCTCCTTGACATACACTAATATGCCAGAACTAAAATTAGCCTTTTTTGAAAACCTATTAGAAAGTCCATTTCTTATTCCGGCTTTAAAACCTTTGCTGCGCTCAATCGAGACAGCGAGGTTAGCGACGTTGACTGCGTACCGAAGGTTCTGGTTTTGAATTTCGGAAAAGGCATGAATGTCTGTACATGTATATTATCCCTACGGCATGGGACACTCTAAATATGCAGCGAGCTGAAAGACCTCTCCAGAGGTTGGTGATAGGGAAAGAGGGATGGGCACCCTCGGACCTGTTCTTCCCGAGCTGCTGTCCATCAAAGTTGACGGCGAAACTAAGCAAAGTCCTCGGCGTGGTCCTCAAGGCTCTTCCCAACGAAAGAGGTAACCTTACTCTCATTGCTACGATGTATTTCGTGGGCTTGTTCTGATGTTATTGCCAGACAAGTGAGATAAATCACAACAACAACAAAATCTTTGCTACATACTGCCAAAGTAAAAGCAGGCACTAATTTGCAGGGCTACTAATTTGCTATTTTAATTACTTTTAATTAAAATAAAAGGTACTTCAAATTAAAATAAAAGGTAATTTTAATTTAAAATAAAACATATTGTAATGAAGAAGTCATAGAAAAAAGAAGATATTGTTTATTAAAAAAAAAAAAAAACTTGCTACTCACCCGCAGAAGCAGGAACTGCAAACATGAAACCCAGAGTAAGGAATACTTCGTATGTCCACATCACTCCAAATGTTCCTAAGAGATTAGCCACTTGCAAAGAGAACATTAAAAAAAAAAAAAATAATCATTTATTTTACGTCATTTATCAAAATATAACATATCAAAAACTTAATACCAATACGTAATAATACAGTGAGTATAACGACTCCTTGTATCCTAAAGAAAAAGAACGCTCTAACGGAAGGTCGCCATAACAAAAAGGAATTATGTAAAAAGTCCACAAATATCTTCCCCGATTAGAAAACATGACTCATCACGAAATATACATTTAACTTCCCAATTCATGAACTGTGAAAGTTTATGATTTAAACGAAAACATTCCCGAACTTCCACATGTGTACCCGACGTAACATGCAAAATATCCAACGAATATTCAATTTCACGCCTCACATGCTTCAACAATCGCCGTGTCAGTGTGTGAATGGCATCGTCGCAAGGTAACAACATCAGGAACTGTTGGGTCATACACTGTCATCAATATACCCCCAAAGGGAAGAAACTAAAGGGGTTCTGTAAGAAGACGTGTGCGGCCTGAAACTGACTACTCGTTAGATATGTTGTGTGCTACCAGAGTCGCACATATAAAAATTTATGGAATGTTTTGAATATGATTATAAGTACTGAGAGATTATGTATTTGAGGCATATTTCGTGTTCCATTATTCTTGAACAATCAGGAGTTATCATGTTTTGTAATCAGGGTAAATACTTATAAACACCCATACTTTGAAAAGTTGGGGACACATTACCCTGACAGTTCAAGGGAATATTTCAATATAACTAGCGAGTATTTTAATGATCGTAGAATACACGTTTTTCTCAGTATTTTATGTTAAACATACTAAATTTATTAAATTACTTTATGGAATAGTATTTGGAAAAGGGGAATTGGCAAGCATAAACCTGCCTAAAGTACTTTGAAATTAATAGCATATACTACTAGAATTCAAATTCCTTCCCACATATTTTAAATTTTGTTCTTTTTTATGCAAATGCTTAATCTTATAGGTTCAATGCAACGCTCGGCACGTTCATACAACAGATTGATTCGCGAGTACAAATAGTATCTTGAAAACCATTTAGGCATCTGGTTAGCGCTTTCTTAAAACTTCAACCAATCATTAAGAAATTCATACATTGATTAAATATATGAAAAGTTTCCTCGTTTATCCTGTAACTCATTTATTTTCAAAAACATTTTAATAAGGCATCTGTGAATTGTCTTCCAGATCAACAGACGACTCATGCACACTAGAAACAAATGATTGTTTATCTTAATTCTAATTGCCAGAAGCTGTGACAGAATGAATCTTGAAAGCACACGTTTATATAAACTTTCATAAAAAATAAAAGCAAAATTTAAAAAAAAGCAATTAATAAAATTTTACAGAAATATATTTTATGATAAAGACTATATTTCTTCATCTTCCTCGCGCATTTCTTTCAGTCTTAGTATATTTTTAAACTGTCTTATAGTATTTCTATATCTTGTATGCATCCCTTTTTAAGTAAGGAATATAATGAATTTACGTAAAAATATAATAGTAACACTAAATAGTGTATTACATATGTACACACAAAGAAATCGGGGGAAAATAATTAACTAGCTTGCGATCCCATATAATAAAGCCTGAAATAAAAATAATGAGAAAATCATGACAGCACAATCTTCACAAACACTAATCTATAAGGTGCGAAAAGAATACGATAGGATAGTACTGAAAAAAGGCAAAGAAAGTTAAGTCATTTCCCTATATGTTTTCAGGAGTATTTTATTAATGCTTTTGATTTCAACACATATTCACAAAACATTTTCGTTAGAACACATGATAAATCGGTGATATTTTTAAAAACCTGATATGGTCAACGCATGACCTCTCGCCAGTTTCATGTTAAAACATGATTTTTTTTTTATTATTCTATTTTCCTACACAATGGACAATGATAACTATTCGTGTTCATGTACACATCTAGTCTCATATCTCATGCTTTGATTTCAAAATATCGTATCAATCATAGTATATAATCTGGTCATATAGTGTTTCGGAATTATAAATCAGTCACTTATTCATAAAACTTTTTAAAATAGCATATCGTTAGAATTTTTAATACAATGTTGTTATATATTTCTTTTTATATTCACTATATTAATGTTTGCCGTATTATTACTTTAAAAATAAAATATAGCAATAGCATTTGGTAGCAGCATTCTTTTATTTGAAAAGTGATTCGACACAAAATTAAACAAGCACATAATTTAAAGATTGAAGCTAATACATACAAACTGACAAGAATATAATCCAAGCATTTTTTGTTTCGCATTAAAAGAATTTATTCACTCTTGTCACTAAATAGAAACCAACCTCTTATGTTTAAAATTTATTTTAAAAAGTAAAAATACAACAGTGATTCAGAAACAATTTTCCACAGATTCCCAAAAGTTTGGAAATCCTTTTACACATTCAAATTGAAATATTAGAGATATATTCTTACCCGGAGGTTTAAACACATTACAGTTGACTTAGTTTTACTGCATGCATGCCATACGTACTGATGTATTTTTATATTCCTGAAATAACGCATTTTATATTCCTTCTAGACATTATTACTCCTGTCTTTTCAAAAGCGCTGGGAATCCACTCGCAAACGTAATTGTTTAGGGTCTCATCAGATGTGATAAAATAAAGAAAAGGTACTTACACTGAGCTTATTAAAATGTATGTTAAAGTTTTCTGCACTTCTTAGCATTACAGGTAGTAAGTGATCTAATACCACCATTATAATTTAAAACTACGTCATTTAGTTTCTGATAGATACACACAGAGATCGACTGTATTTATATATGTGTCATAAAAGAGTACAAAGCTGGTAGTTCAAGTTTCTCTGGAAGTATTAAAATTTTAATTTAAAAGTATTTTGACACACAGCCACAAGATTTTCTCCCCTAAAATTAATTCACTTTTTTTATATGCTATATTAAAAGTACTTCAAAAATTTTTTTATGATATTCAAAATTAAAAGACTCCTTTAAATAAATTTTGAATGGAAGAAACTCTGATCTAGATAACTGCTGGCTGTTAGAGAATTGTATCCTTACAGTTGCACGTTACTTTTGATCCCAATGCTAGTGTATATTTGGAACAGAAATTTGTGGCAAAGTTACAAAATACATCCTTTCTGAAGCTTCAGTTTAACTCAGTTTACTTAACATTTATGTTAGTAAATTTATTGCAAAATATTATTAAGAAACAAATATTGTTTCTACACGTGTAATTTTGGCAAGGATTACGACTGCTGTAACTGACTGTTGTAAGACAGGTAAAATATTGTATATGGCATAGTTAGGTAAGATTTTCAATCTTTTATTCCGGATTGGACTTTATCCAAAGGGAAAATATTAACATCAGAAAGGACTTTCGAGTATTATTAACCGAAGCTAAGTCCAAGGATTGTTTTAGTTTGTTTACGGCAAGGCACTCGAGTACTATCTGCATAAAGGAAACGATGTCTTCGTGGAAGACATTCTAAGGAAATTAGCATGTGCACACATTACACATCGGAAAAACCATGAAAACGCCCATGCAGCCAACCCGTTCAAACCCCTAATCGAACAACCAGAAATGAATGATGTTATCACTCTGCCGCTGGTAGGCACTAAATTGAAGGAAGAGTTAAATTTGGGAATGGGAAACTATTTATTTTCTTGCAAAAAATGATAATTATTAAACTGAAAACAATAAGGCAATATTTTTTAAACTCTTAACTGAAATGCTATCGCATTCGAGAAAAATATTTAAACGTTATTGCCAATAATTATACTTACAAATTTGATAAATCGAAAGGGTAATAATAATTTTCACCAAAATGAACAGAACAAATACGGCGAATACTCAGTCTACACTAAAGATCCAGGCACTCAAGAGAGCAAACATTGTTTAGGTTAATAAGTGGTCATTTTCGGAAATTTCAGTACATAATTTCTTAGAACAGAAAAAGAAAGCAGAAAATAATAATGTAATAAAACTTTCAATGTCTCTTTCTTTTTTGATTTGTTATTTTTAAGTAAAATCAATGGATAATTTATTGAGCTAATTATAATAAAAAACATGATTTATTATTTTTTTTAATTACATAAAGCTAGTATTTTCAGGTATTCACGGAGCTCTTAGCAGCCAGGTCTTCCAGTCGTTTAATTCGCCTCTGTTCCTGTTGCTTGCTGACGACTGCTTTAAGATCTTAAAATACGAACTTTCTACAAAAAAACTGCCTGTTGCTATTAACTCTAACATCGTTTTCATGACTAATCTAATAAACTAATTTATTCGCATAAATATTTCGCGATATTTACCTGTGTTTTTCATGCGAACTAAATGTAATCGATAATTTTTCATTTATTAAATATTGGAATTGAATTGTCCTCAGTTTCATTAATAATTCATTACTTTTTAAACTGGCGTTTCCCTTTATAAATATATATGTTTCAAATCTAGGATAACTTTCAAAGAATGCTTGTTATGGTTTTATTAAAGAATTCCACTAAAATCATCAGTACTGCTGCCATCTATTGGAAGGCGATTAAAATACGTTTTAAAACCGCAGAAGAAAATAAAATTATTAGTTTGCTTTGTCTGTACATTCTATATATTTTACACACATTTCGATACAGTATTTCTACATGATGCCCAAAGGTATTAGGGCCTCTTCTATAAATGTGAATATTTCTAAAATTTATATTTTAATATTTTTATAAAATATATAATATTTGTTCGTAAAACGTACATATTGCTGCAAATTTTTCCCAGTGTTAAAAGCTTTTGAGAACATAAATTCGTTGATCGTTGTATAAAAATCTCGCATACTTTTCGTAAATAAAAATAAATGGGAATATCTTAAAATTAAATTTAATTTATCTCATTTAAAATTTCATATTTTTCCATTGAAATTTAAAATAAAATATCTTTACAAATTTTCATACATATCAGTTTAATAAATTTCTTCCTATTAAAATAGAATATCTTTATTTGCGTTTTA